TCAAAATTCCATCCAAATCCAGTCAGACTCACAGACAGAAATGAGTATCATGGTATTTGTGATGTACATGTCATATCCAAAAAACATCCCATTTTCGAAAGTTTTCGCGATTACAATAGTTTCCTGCCAGTAGGCGTGGGAAGTAAGAAGCTTTTATTTTGCTGTCCAAAAAATGAACTAGGAATTTAAAAATAGTTTTTCCGATTGGTAATTTTTAAATGATAATGCAGCACCTTCATCCCAAATTTTGAAATAAAAGACGTTTTGACAGCAGGATGGTAAAAAGGGTGTAATACGCTTGTATTTGGAAAATTGAGAAATATTTAGTCTGAAAAATTTCAAATTTTCAGTTCATTTTTGGAAATAGCTAAAGAAAAGCTTGTTTATAAAAATGTATTTTTTATTATATACTAAGTGACATATAAATCCGAACACCCAGTTTAAATGGTTTTATTTTAATAAAAGTTGGTGAATGTATTTATCTTACTGTAACTAACAAGTGAACAAATTTTCAACCTTATCATTTGGACATTTCGGTTTTTATACTGCTTTTTTTTAATTCACTAACGCTCTAAAAATGAATATTTCAGCCGCAGTAAAGAATCAACGTTGGCGGATTTTGGTTCTTGACATCCTTTACGATCGGTTACGATGCCTAGAGTACGGAGGTACCTGTACGATTTCGTCAACTTAGTGAGTTTGATAGGGGCCGTATAGTGGGACTTCGGGAAGCTGGACTTTCTTTTCGGGCAATTGCAGTTAGAGTGCAAAGAAGTGTAGACCCTGTAGTTAGGTGTTGTCGGGCATGGCTTCGAGAAGGCCGTACGCAAAGAGCAAGTTGCACTGGACGCCGCCGTAGAACAACAGACCGTGAAGATCGCCGCCTAAGATTATTGGCCTTAAGGGACCGTTTCTCCACTACCAGGTCCATTGCAAATGAATGGTTTGCAGAACACGGAAGACCTATGTTTACCGACGAATGAGAAGTTTTGGCTTGTTTTCATACCGGCCACACTGGGTCCTCCCTTTAACTCGAGAACACCGACGTAATCGCCTTGAGTGGTGCAGACAACGGTCACTCTGGGATCAGGAATGGAACAGTATTGTCTTTAGTGATGAGTCTCGATTTTGCTTAGGCATGCACGATGGTCGTGCCAGGGTTAGAAGGCGACGTGGTGAAAGGAGGAATCCACAGTTTTTTGTTGAAAGACATGTTCATCACACTGTTGGAGTTATGGTTTGGGGTGCTATAGCTTATGGTTCCAGGTCACCTTTAATCTTCATCAGAGGTAACATGAACGCGCAGCGTTATATCCACGAAGTTGTAGAACCCCATCTTTTACCCTATCTTGACACCCTGGCAGATCCAACTTTCCAACAAGATAATGCCCGACCACATGTTGCAAGAGTCACAATAGACTTCTTTCAACATAATGATGTCACATTGTTACCATGGCCACCAAGATCTCCCAACTTATCCCCAATTGAGCACGTGTGGGATATGATGGGTAGGAGATTGCTCAATTTGCAACGTCCTCCTCAGACTCTAGAAGCACTTCGAGAGGAGTTGGTGGTTGCCTGGAATGAGATACCACAGGAGGACATTGACCACCTGATCAGAAGCATGCCTAAGCGCGTTGGAGAATGCGTAGCACATCAGGGTGCATCCACACATTATTAAAGGTCAAAGGGCTTTAAAGCAGTGCAATCATTTTGAAATTTTTATCATTTACTTATTATGCTTCATTAAGTACTTATACAAAATTTTATTAAAATTAAACCATTTAAACTGGGTGTTCGGATTTATATGTCACTTAGTATATTTATACTAATTAAGTTACCCAGGAACACTGGACGGCAGTGTCGTGGACGCCAAGATGTGTGGTCAGAAAAAGATCTAGCAGAGGAATGCGAGGAAAAACCGATAAAACCTCAAAATCAATTTGGCTTTCCTACATTATTTTTTAATAATAAAATAGAGTCTGCAAGAATTTGAATATACATGCTCCCGCTATATAAACAATTTAAGAAGGTACGATCACGTTTCTCACTCATTAGCTTCCATGAATTGGTTAAAATATCTGATATGTCCAAAAACAATTTTGTCATATTTGTCATCAAAATATTAAAAACCTCCATTCCTTCTTACTTTCGCCAAAATATTGTTTATAGGAATTTAATTCACAATTTGAATACGCGCAACAACCATCTCCTCACATTGCCGCAATACAGCGTAGCCATATTTCAATGCCCTTTCACGTACAATGCGGTGAAATCGATAATTAATTAATTTAACCAAAACTTAATTAGCAACCTTTCCAAGAAAACCTATAGGAATATGGTGTGGACAGCAAAAATTTTTTCATGAGCATGAATGTTATAATTTTCCGTAGGTAGATGGTCTCTGACTGACGATCGTGGAGGTACCACCCGGCGGATCTCCAAGGTGGCGCCAGAGTGAATGCATGTGAATATAAAAAAATATACAGTTGCAATTATATACTCGTCTTATGTCTCTTCCTGATCCGTCGGATTGGTACCAAGGCCATCTAGGCAGTTTTGGATAACATTTTGTCTATTACCTAATTCTTTTCCTTCACGCCAGGTCTTAGGTAGTAACTCGGGTAGTAATAAGCTGTATGACATGGTTACTAATGAATGGCATTTTGCCACGCTTCGCCATTTGTGAGTGTACTACGAGTATATGAATTTGTTACAATAAACTCGATTAAATGGAATTCATTATACCTTTTCGAAACGAGTCAAACATTTTGTTGAGCCGGCAACACTGAATGTGATCGCGGAGCGCGTCTGTTGTGACAGGCCGCGACATATAATGAGCTTTTTATAACGTCACACACTGACTGGCAGGATATTGCAATATGAGGGCAATTAGCTCCCTATGGGCCGTGCGCTGTCTACATTTGTATCTTTGAGGTCAGAAATGCTCCACTGGTGAACTTAATCGTCGAGAAATACGGCTGTTTGGGCTTGCTGCGCTAAGTTGCTTTGCTAATTGTTGATACGTCCGGTTTGTTCCGTGTTGTTTTAAAATATGAATCCCATAAGATTTTAAAACGTACATGCACAATGATAGTCGGTCCTTCTTGGTGCTGACCAAGCGTATCGGATGCAGTTCACAATGTGGCCTTCCATTTTGGATAAGACAGGATGGAGCGAAGTCGGTCAAATTAAGTACAAAAATGTGTTTTTTAATGCTGCTTTAAAATTGAACAAGTTTAAAGCCGTTCTTGAATTATCTGCAACAATGAATCCCTTAGTCGTTTAACAAATTTTTTAATTGCCTCTGTAACCTTACAAACATTTTTTAGTTATGGTGTATTAATGATAACCATATAATATTTTTTTACCATCTGAGTGCAATATGCTTCAGGAAGCGATAATATTAGAAAGAAAATATTTTAACAAATTAATTTTATAAATGTTCCACAAAACGCTAATAAAGCGATTCTATTGATGTTCGCAAATGAATAAACTCGTATCAGATAATATCAGTATAAATCTATTATGATACAAACTTGTGAAGTATAAAACTATTGTGGAAACATTGAGAAAATACTATCAATTATTTTGTATTTTTGCCCTAAGAACGTTCCACAACCTTATATAGCAAACTGCATCTTAAATAACTGCGTTATAAGGGCAGTGATAGAGTAAACATAGTTGTGTAAGATTGAGATTATCACCCAGATACCCTGCAGACAATGGACATACTTTGATCCTTCTACCTATATCTAAGTTGCTGGACAAAGACACAAAGATGAAAGGGAACATAAAGCGCACAGTGCATACAGGGTAAATAGAATTGTTGCTTCCTTGACTTTGCTGATGCCAAGTAATGGTGGGCGAGCAGTGGGACACGAAGGATCCTAGCTGAGATATCAAACTTGGTATGCTTTATGGGGCTCCAGTTTATAAAAAGGCATATCATACTATATCATGCTCGTGATATGCGCCTATAGAACGATATCTATGTCTAATAGTGGTGGCTGGAGTCCCACCAATAAATTTCGCAACTGATGAAATAAATATGTCCGGTCGAGAAGGAGCTGGAGTTTAGTTGTCGTTACGTTCATGACGACTGGGGTCACATTTAGGTTGAAATTTGAGACCTGCCTCGAAGACATCAAGAAAAAATACTCTACATGCTTAGATCAGTTCACTTGGTGCTAACCTTCTCATGCTGGACATTTTACGATTTAACATTTACTTATACGTAAAACTAGTGTTTTTATGGCTTATCCATCAGGTACAGCATTATCGTCAGCATCAGATTCCTTAAATTACTTTTTAAGTAGAATTATATTTGTTGACTTTATCATTAAAAAATAGCTCTATTGTAAACGAAGACATTGTAAATCCTTAAGCTTCGTATTTTTTGGCGATCCATCATTCAAAACTTCCACTAAAAAATGTGAAACACGAAAGTTATCAATATTTGACTGTTTCTCTTCATAAATTTCATATTAAGCCGCGTACAGACCGAGATTTCAACGCAACATGAGCCAACGGTTTCCAAGGTTGGCGTTGGCGTTCGATTGCGTTCGCTCCTTGATCGGTACATCAAAAGGAGGTTTGATTTGGTCTGGACAGGATTTGTTGCGCTTCTAGTATTTTAGGTACCTTTACACTTACACTCTTTCGCGTGGGTTTTGAACGTGACGTTCCAATCGTGCGCGCAAGAACGGTAATGTAGATGTGAGTCGGGCATGTGCGCAAACACTTCGTACTTTAGTAAAGACTTGATTGCGGGAGAAGAACGTGAAGGTTTTTTGTGCATAATTTGAGTGTGCGTGAGTGATTGGCACGCGGTATAACAAATAAAATAATTACATTGTAAGTAAAGTTTATTATTGTAAAATTGTAAATTACATTTTAATTCATTTTTACAGATATTTTCAATAAATACTTATTTTGTGTGCCATGGGAGACAGTAGGTACTGGTCGAAAGAGTTTATAAGGCATTTTATTGAAGTTTATAAATCGTATCCGTGTCTATGGAAGGTCAGGTCAAAAGACTATACAAATAAAAACCTAAAAAATAAAGCTTACGAGAAATTGGTAGAGGTCTGCAAAACCATTTTTCCTGAGGCAAATAAAGACTATGTTATAAAAAAGATTCAAAGCTTCAGAGGTTCTTTTCGCAAGGAAGTAAAAAAGGTGGCAGAATCAATACGAAGTGGAGCTGGGGCAGATGATGTCTACATACCCACTTTATGGTACTACGACCTATTGTTATTTACCAGTGATCAGGAAATACCAACCGCTAGTATAAGCAATATGGATACGGACGAATTAGAGGCAGGATGTGACAATGGGGCAGGAGAACATGCAGAGAATAATGAATGCCAAATACTACAAGAGCATAATAATGAAAGTGAATCTCAGGATACTGAATTACAAGAAAACACAGACACAGGCGTAAAAAAAAATTTATTAACACAGGTGAGTTATAATAATATAAATTAAGCTTTTCCTTTCTTTATCATGTCAAGTTGCCACGGAACTTTTCCTTCCAAATTAAAATAATGTTTGTACTTCTCGCGATTACTTTTAGCGTTTATTGTTACATTTTTTTGCGTACTTGTTCGTAAACTGGTAAGTTCGGTACTGCTATTCCGCCATTCACCCATTTGTAATTTGTGAGTCGCCAAATCTTCGTGATCAAACGATCTGGGAGGTGCATAAGAAGTCGTGCGTCTTATAAGAAAATTGTGCAAAGCACAAATAGCCAAAATCACGTAGGTGATATTTTGTGGATCGGTAATGTGTATGGTATAGTAAACCAAAAGTATTCTCAACAACATTGCGTGCACGGGATAAACGGTAGTTAAAAACTCTATTTTCCAATGATAGATCTCTTTGAGGATACGGTTTCAAAAAATTTTCGTGCAGTGAAAATGCTTCATCGCCTAAGAAAACGTAATTAAGATGTTTCTCCGTTTCATCATTATTCGGCAAATGTAATTGACCTGAAAAAATTATCGTTTTAATAAAAAAAACCTCTTGCATAAAAAAATGACCTTTATTTTATACCTTTTGTCAATTTATCATAAAATTCTGTGTACTCCAAAATTCCTCCATCGGAATGTCTTCCATTTTTCCCAACATCGATGTAAATAAATTCATAATTTGCGTTTACAAGCGCTAGTAGAACGATGCTATAAAAGTTTTTGTAGTTGTAATATTGAGCTCCCGAATGAGGAGGCGGAACAATGCGTATATGCTTCCCGTCAAGGGCTCCCCCATAATTTATAAACTGCCATTGATTTTTAAAATCCGATGCTACTTGGCACCAATCGTCTTTTGTTTTTGGAAACTGGAATAAAATAATACTTTTAATTTTTTTTTTTAGAATTCGCATGCTTCACAATCAAAACCACCCCTTTCCACACCCAAATCTACAAACGTGACCACAAGGCAAAAAGTCAAGAGCAACTTTAATAAACGAAATGCTGAATTCATGCAATTTTGCAGAAACCAGTTGCAAATGACAAACAATGTTATTAGTGAATATGATGCAGTTGGAATTTCATGGAGCGAAAAATTAAAACGGATGGATTCCACTCGAGCCATTTTGGCCGAAGCATTGGTTAATAAAGTTATGACCCAAGGATTATTAAAAAAGTTGACATGTACTACAACCCTGTCGGATACAGAGGAGACACGAAATACTTCAATTTCATCCTGCAGTCGATACACGGTATTATCAAATTCTTCTGGTCAGCAATGGCAGTTTACATCACCATCAGACCAGGACTGTAATCAACAGAGGCAGGTTTTATCACCTTCGGAGCAAGAATCTGATCAACAGTGGCAGGTTACATCACCACCAGTGACAGAACAAGCAATCGAGACCTCTTCAACAAATATAGTGGATTTTTATAATACTGCTGCAGATAATATAGATGGGTAAAACCCCTACCTAGCAGCAAATATTTTCTTTTTTAAAGTTGTTCTTTTCACTGTTCTTTTTTTCTACGAAACCATTTATTTTTAAGATATACCTACTTGCTGTTCGCTAAAAAATAATTAAGTATGTTTTTATTTTTAATAAACTTACCTTCAAATAAGTTTCTTTAAGAACCTGATATATGGCTTTGCATGTTTCGGGTATGATGTAGCATAAGGAAGATGGTGATATTCCAGTAGAAAATTTAAGATCTTCATTGGAGCGACCTGTCGCTAAGTAGCGTAATGTGGCAGCTAGTCTTTCCTCCGCACTAATACTTTCTCTCATCTTCGTGTTTTGTTTAGAAATAATAGGTGAGATCAATTCTAATAATATATTAAATGTATCAAAGTCCATACGAAGATAATTTTTAAAATCACTAGGATAATCTTGTCTTAGTTCTTTTAATAGTGGCATGTGACCATATTTGTTACGATCCTCCATCCATTTTTTCACCCATATGCTTCTTTTTCTTTTATTATTTATAAAATTTATTTGTACAGCCATACAAAGAGCCACTTTTAATTTATGCTGCTTTATTTTGTACATTTTTTTATATCAATCCTTTCAGAATTTCTAAAACGCCTGGAGAACGGTCAAATCCGCGCGATAACCAACACTTTTTACTTTACACTGACATGTTTTTCCTTTTACGTTATATACGCGCGGTTAAGTCTGCGCGAATGGAACGTTGAATTTTTTATTTTTCTAGTAACACAGTCTTGGAACGCTACGTTCTTGAAGCGCATTATTGGCCGCACGATTGGAACGCCGTTCAAACCCCACGCGAAAGAGTGTAAGTGTAAAGGTACCTATTTAGTCGCTCGACATTAGCACAGAACCAACACGGTCCGACTCGAAACTAAACTTAGGTGTAGACGAAGTGTAGACCAGCGCATTCCAATACTTTCCAACAACAAACGCCAATGTCACATGTGCTTGCATCCGTTTGCTAGGCTTTGTATTTTCGGTCTGTACGCGGCTTTTCTCAACACTACCGGCTTATCCGTTCATCGCAATACAATAATAACAAAACAATAATAATGAATGGCTGAAAAGCTGCTTTTCAGAATCAACCAGGACTACAAATATATACAGTAGAATACAAAAAAATACAAAGACAAAAATTTAAAGGAGAAAAAAATAGCACATCATCGTAGCCTATGGAATAATGACCAAAAGAGTCAACAGAGTACGTAACAAGATCAAAAACCATGCTTAGAAATAACAGTAAAAAGTAAAAGCTGGGGGAAGATATAAAAGTTAAAAGCAAACAGATTTGTATACCAAACACAAACAAATGAAAAGAGGGAAGTGAGAAGACGTGCATAAATAAACAAGTATTAAAATAAAATTACGTATTATATGTTATCAATGATAAAGAGCTTAATTTTTCGTTTAAAGCTGGACACATATAGAGTTTTCAAAGCTGAGGTACGAGCCCCTTCCCAATTCAATTGGCTCACTTTAAGATTTCTACCAAAATATGCCTTTATAAACTAAACATGACGAAACTATTTACTTCTAAAACAATTTATTTTCTCAAAAACATTTTAGATACACTCTAGTCGTAAAAAATATATATTTGAAATCACTTAGACCTATAACTAATAGAACATCTGAACAAATAAACAATGTGCGAATAAATGCGCGAAGTTAAAAAAGCAACAATTGAACGATTACCATTGGGTAACATCATCTTTATTTTTTATTACGGCTGAAATTCTTTAGGGCATAGTGTTAACCAAGTTTTGGAAAAAATTTGGTGTAAAGCAATCCCATATTTCTTGAAGCTTTTGTCTCAGTTCGGTGATTTTACGAGCAGGATGTTGTCGTAGAACCTTTTTCATCTCGTACCACAAAGTTTCAGTAGGTGACAGATCTGGACTGCTAGAAACCAATTTCAAAAGTGGTACATTATTTTCTTCCATCCATTTTATAGCCTTTTTTGAGGTATGGCATGCTGCACCATCTTGCTGAAACACAAAATCTTGGCCGGATGTCAAACATTCTTCCATCACTGGTAAAAGCGATTCTTCTACAGTATATTCAGATAAGAGATAGACCGGATGTAAACAAAAGGTTCGGGTGATTTTCAGGCTAACGCCGCCGTCTCGACGTAAAACAGGAGCCCTCATTGGTCAATTCGCAATTAAATGCCTATGCCGAGCGGCAGAGCAGTCGTATCAAGGCAGAGTCACATTCAGGTTCAGACGTGTTACGTATGTCGTGTGCATCATTGCAATTTGATATTTCTTTGGACGTTTTCGTTTGTTATCTTATTAAGTTGTTGAGTTTGTCGTTGTTATTGTTATACCTTGTTATTGATTGTTATTGTTATCAACTACTTGCGCAAAATGCCCAGTAGTACAGATACTGCCGATGAAGTTGTAAACTCCTGTAGTCCACCTAGGAAACGCTCTAAAAAAAAAAAATGAGTGTAGAAACGAAAGAGGTCATTTTGAATATATATAAGATCGAGCGCGAGGAGAACGAGGCATCAACCATCAAAGAAATTGTTGTGAAGGTTTCTCACAAAGCTGGAAATCGAAGCGAAAATTTTGAAACCCTTATGTATATTTACATCATTATATATTTCTTACCTCACCCCCACATGATCCTATATCCATCACCAATCGTACACACACGAATTGTGCTAATTTACTACAAAGTTACGCAAAGCAGCATCTACTATCTAAAATATGTACTGCGTGACTCTTAATACGTCCCTGCCGAATGTTACAGCGTTCGATGATCACGTGGTCTTGTTTATGTTCGGTCTATCTCTTATCTGAATATACTGTAAAATTGCCAAATATTTGTTTGTATCCACATTTCCATCAATAAAATGAAGTTTTCCTACTCCTTTTGATGACATACTGCCCCAGACCATAATGGATGCTGGAAATTTCACTTTTCTCTTCAGACAGTCAACATGGAATGCTTCATTTTTTTTGCGAATAACTCTGCGACTGTCACCAACACAAACTTCGAATCGGGCCTCATCACTCCATTGTATTGCACACCATTGTTGAGGTGTCCATTATCTATGTTCTTTAGCCCATCTAAGCCGATTTTTCTTTTGCAGTGGAGTTAATAGTGGCTTTTCTTTGGCCTATAAACAAGTTGTGCAACTTTAGGATTTTTACTTCACTTTTTTCTATAAGAAAACTTACCTTGCAAGTGCTGAATCCCAGTTTGTGGGCCTCTCTATGAGTTGTGGACCTCGAAATTCTCCTTCCAACAGCGTCACTCCACAGAGCACTTAATTGTAAATAATTGGCACGCCTGTTTTTCACGATTATTCTTCTTAATGCTCTTCGGTCGGCATTTGTGATATTACTTTTTTTTTCACATATCGTGGCTTAATATTAACTGAACCCGTTACGTTATAACTTCTAACAATATTTCTCACACTGTACCGCGATAAGTCTAACAAAGTTGCAATTTCTGAGTTTGATTTCCCAGAATAAAAAAATTTAATTATCAGTAACCGAATTTTCTCACTAATAACCTTTCCTCTACCTATTTTGAAAACCTTAACTACCCAAAACTATTTTAAACGTATTCTGACAGCTGTGATTAATAAAAACAATAGGTTGATATGCTGTAATTGCAACATGTGTTATTTTTATGCTGCTAATTTGATTAGGGAGTGATAAAGTTGGTGTTTTCTACTATATATTATCAAAATAGTCATTGTTAATATTTTAAACCTATAACACCCTGCTACATTTTTATTATTTGTGTTTGATAAGAAAAAAAAATTAAGATTTCAATAGTTGGGCCAACTGAAGTGGGAAGGGGCTCGTACTTTATTGTACAAATCGGGTGCCAAAACTGAATCTGAATCTTTCTGAATTTTGTTTTTCGGTGCCGAGGCAAGCCAACGGTATATCCTACAAAACTCAGATTTGCTGCCCGCCTTGAATATCTAAACTGAATCTTATGCAGCCGTTTAGCACTTTTTGACATGGTCCTCGTATTCAGCTTTTTATGTCTATAAATTGCATAGGAACCTTGAACAGCTTTGATGACATGATCATGGAAGCACAGGTTCTCATCAAATATGATTCCAAACTTGTTCATCAATACACAGCTTTATTGAATCACTTTTGAATTTGCAGATTTTAGTCTGATAGTTATGACAGCCAACTTTCAAGAATAAATACATAAGCCAGGTTTATTAAACCAAACACCTAGCCTCCTACTCCCTTTGTGTATATGCAGGCAAACAACGCTAATTAATCCTCCATCTATGTTTATAGCATTCGTTTTTTGGCGGTAACTGTATACATGTTCTATTTAGCTGGCGCTTAATACCATCTTAATGTCCTATTTTTTATCACGAGACAAGATATGTCATGTTAAGGCGACCATCCATTACCACACAAATAAGACATACAGATGCAAGTTCCAGCATCCTAAAAAATGACCCATCTCATTAGAACACCATGCAGAAATAACACGAGCTTCCACAAAAAACAAAATAAATCAGACGTATGCCCACTTGAGATATTCGAAGACACGATCCCCGAAAAAAATAAATAAGTTGCACGAGAGAAATAGATGACAACATCTGAGAGGTACGAGTAATGGGCTATTATTCAAGACATCCCGAACATCTGTTGGCAAATAAAAAAAGATACGCGGGACTGCCTATGTCTTTAATTTCAGCCATAATGAGGTCGATCCTGTCCCATAATAGCAACCTTGCTAATAGCTACGGGAATATACTGCCGTACTTAGGTAAAGTGTAAAAATCGGAATGTGAGAAAATCGAGTTCAAAACTCTTGATGTTTCTCGAAACGAAACGTCAAAAGTGAATGAACATTGCAAAGTTACATGACTTTATAGAGAGTCATTTAAATGTGATTTCGGATGACTGTCTTCAATTGTTGTAAGTCAAAGAACAGTAACATGTGATTTACTGCTTTTATACTCTACAAAAACAAACTTACTGACGTAATTTTCATAATCTATTTATATTGTTTTTCCAAAGGAAACCCGCAGTGATGCAGACATTTTTTATATTTTAATATCTTTTATTCATATTGAAATTCACATATATATTACAAAACTAAACCTTCTCAATAATTAAATTCATCAAAAATAATTATACAGGGTGTCCGCAAAGTTGGGGTTTTCCTTTACACGACATGTAGATCTTGAAAACATAAGCAATTTTTCTTAGTACCATACACACCAATGTCTTAAGGGAACCGAGATAAAGGGCTCTGCAACATCAAAAATATCTGAATACCGTCCTGTAGCCGCGACATCACGGAGTGGTACTTGTTACTGGCTCAACCTGACGACAGAACTGGGTCGGGGTCAGTGTGTCAGGTCAGTATGCAACCTTCAAGCGACGGTTACGGTCACGCCTGTAGAGATAATCGCGTAGACGAGAATCCCTCAACAAGCACTAGAGACGTGGCTAGAGAAGTGCAAGTATCAAAGACTAAAGTGTGGCAAACGCTGCCTGAAGAGGGGCTGTATCCGGTTCACGTCTAACGTGTTGAAGTGCATATTGGTGACAGACGAATCTACATTCACGCGTAATGGGGTGAAAAACT